GACGCTGCCGGGCCAAGTGTCCGCGCCCGGACAGGCGCGCCCCCCGCCGCCCTCGCGCGGCGCCAGGCGGAGGGGGGCGGCCGGAGCTGCGCGCGCACCGCGCAGATCATGCCGCAGATGGCGCGCGTGGTGGAGGAGCGCCTCCTGTCGGCGGTTGGCGAGGAGCCGCCGCCCGCGCGGTCGCGGAGCCTCGCGGACAACGCGCGGGCGACTTCTTTCGCAACGATGCCTTCCGCACGCGCGAGTCGGATTCCTGGCCAGCTTCAGCGAGGTCGCGGCGGGCCAGGATGGCGCCGAGATCGCCCCGTTGAGCCCGGACAGGAGTCGCGCTGTTTCCCGGGGCGTGCAAGCGCGCGGCGCCGCGGTGCCCGTGGGGCGCGGGGCCCCGCGCCCCCCGCCCTTCGGGGCGGCCTGGGGCAAATCCAACAAGTGATTCGTGCAGGGTCACGAAAACGCGTCGTGGGCGGAGGTGGCGGGCGCGGGTCGCGGGAAGGTCGCAGGCGCGGCCGCGGCGGGTCGCGGGGGCGAGTCGCGGGAGTCGGTCGCAGTGGCGGGAGGGGCGGGCGACGGGTTGTGCCGGGGCTGAGAAGCGCTCGTCGACCCGCTGCATGTCGGGCTTGAAACGCTGGCGTGTTCGGACTGAAATTGACCCCGTGCCAGGACTGCAACGACTCCCGTGCCAGGACTGAAATTGGTCGCGCGCCAGGGTGAACATGGTTGTTTGCGTTGTGCCCTGCAGCTCTCTGCAGCGGTGTCAATGCTGAGACGACTTCCGCGTCAAGATTGACATCGCCCCCGCGCCAGGAGTGACGCGGGCCCGCGCCGGGGTCGAAATTCGCGCTGCGCCAGGGCCGATGCGCGGCGCCGGCGCCCGCGCGCGCCAGGACTGACGCGCCGCGGCGGCGGCGTCGTTTGGAGGGGAAGGGGCGCGATCGTGGAAGACAGAATAGGGGGGCGACGCGGACAGACAGGGCGAGGAGTGGGAGGCGGAGGAATGATTGGAACGGTTGGAGGGAGAGGAGGAGGGGGGGGGCGGCGGCGATCAGGAGGGCGAGGGGCGCGGTTTATCAGCCCCCCGCCGCGCGAATCCACCGCAGATCAGCGCCGCAAGTTCCCGCTGATCTGGGCGTCGGGGGCTTCCGAACTTCCTCGCCCCCGATCCCCCCCCGCTCCGCGTTTCTTGTTTTCTTCCTTGGCGCTTCTGGGCCCCCCCCCCGGCCGACTCGGGCCCCTCCGCTGAGGAATCCCCGGGGTTCTCGAAGGTTCTGCAGCTGCCGAGTCACGGGGCCCCCATTGGGTTGGCCCGGGGCTGTCGGAGGGCTGTCCGGGATCCATCGTGGCCTTTTGGTTGTGTTTCTTGTCCGTCCTTGGAGAACCCCCAGGGCGCTTTTTGAGCCATTCGCGTGTTTCTTGCGGGCGCGGGGCGATCCAGGGGGCTCTCCGACGCAGGCCCGGGCAAAAATTCGAAGGGTCGTGGCCTTGGGGGCGCGGGGCCCTGCGCCCGCGCGCGCGGGGGGCCGCGGGGGGCCATTAGACGCGCGGGCCCCGTGGCGTTCTCATCGTGCTAATCGGCCCGCTTCGCGCGGCTTTGGCCGGGCGCAGTGCCCGGGCCCTCGGCAGCGGTTCTGGGGCGGCCCAAAACCCGACCACGAGAATGTGTTCCCAATCGGCCCGGGCAGCTCTAGAGTACAAACGGGGGCAGGGCCCCGCGCCCCGGCAGCCCCCCCGCGCCCCCCCCCCCCCCCCCCCCCTTGCAATTCACAGCCCAGAGCCTGCCTACCTAGAGCCTACTTACGACAGATGGCCCCTAGTGGCCGTGCGCGACACGTAAAGGATCAGACTCCACAGGGGCCTCTTTCATGTATACTTGCGTTTCCCGGCGAATCGGGCCCCCTTAAGCCTCCAGGTTCCAGCTAGCCTTGCTTAGTAGGCCCTCCGAGATCCCCATTATAATACCCCAGAACAGGTTCATCCGAAACCGTTCTGGATCAAGATTTACAGAGACGCTGGACTGACTGGCGCGCGTCTGAGAGACGCAGAACAGCGAACTGCCCGCTGACGCAGATCCTGTTCATCACCATCGCACGATCAGAATCGCACCGCCACTGCCCCCAGATTCCCCACGTCTGACGACGCCTACAACGAACCCTAGCAGATCATTGGGAGAGAGAGAGAGAGAGAGAGAGAGAGAAAAAAAAAAAGATAGAGAAAAGAGTAGCATTCTGGATTGGCATCAGGGCAGCGGTCACAAGCGGGGCCATTGCATGGTAGCGGAGCATGCGCTCCACGGACTACATATTCGCGGATTGATACGTTCCACAAGCCATGGGAAATAATAACGGAGACGATATCGTACCGAAGTGGAACGGAGATCTCACCACGGTGGACGACTACGAAAGATATGTGAAGGCTTACATCACAGGGACCCGTCGAGATGAAAGATACGCATGCGGCCCACGATTATGGAGACGACTCGAAGGCCGAGCGAAACAAGCAGCCAAGGACGTCGACTGGGACCGCATCGAGAAAGACGACGGCACTACCGATTTGCTCAGACAAGCGAGATCGAAGCTTGGAGCTCAACCTATCCAGGATGCAGGGAAGTATCTGGCGAGATGGATCTTCGATCTACGACGGCACACTGGAGAACCGATGCCGAGCTACACCAGCAGGGACGATGAAGCCTACCATGATGTGGTCAAAGGGTTCGACACCGAGTATTTCAAGAAGCAGCGCACCGCCCGCCTCTCGGAGAGAGCGAAGGAGTGGAACCACGTACGGCGAGCTCACCTGGTTCCTGTACAAGATCGAGCAGGAGGGCCCGGAGGACGCTGCTGAGAAGGCCAGGGAGCTGAATCACTCGCTCTGGAGCTTCGTCAAAACGGGCCTTGAGGAGATCCCAGAGCACCCCGTCTTTGGGGCGGACTTCAACCAGGCGATCCCCTTAGACCAGCTACGTGGATGGCTTCTGCTGCAGCGATCGAGACTGACACCGACGGAGCGCGCAGCAGTCATGAGTGCAGTCAAGGGCAACTTCGACTACGACAGCATCGGAGAGCAGCTACGGGTCTCCTGGCCGGACGACGAGCTGACCAATCGGGACAAGAAGCAGGGCAATGACTATCGTCATCGTGATCGTGGACGCATTCATGCCGGCTGGTGCCGGCTGGGAGGCGAACAGCGAAGAGGACGACGACAACAGCTATTACGAAGAGCACGAGTCGGAGGCTTCCTACGACGGCCAGGGCGACGACGAGGATGAAGAGAACCCCGAGGAGCCGCTCTACAGTGCCCGCTCTACAGTGCCCAGCAGATCGAGGAAGCCGAGACAGCTTTCGCCGCCCAGCAGAGAAGCTTCGAGGAAGCCCGAGATCTACTGCGACGAGTGAAGACCGCCGGGACATTCTAACCCGTGGATGAGAACAAGAAGCGAGAATACCGAAGTGGACATCGCAAACCGCAAGGGCCCCGGGCTGGATCCCGAGGCCCAGGGCCATCCAAGGGACGAGGCCGAGGGAGTGGACAGCGACGTGATGGACCACCCCGCCGAGAAGGAGATCGCTCCCAAGGTCGGCCTCCCAGGAAAGGACCATGTCTGAGGTGCGGCGGCAACCGCGAGACCAAGGATCATCGAGATCGAGAGCGCGCATCTTCTACTGGCAGTCGGGGCGACCGAGACCGACGCACAAAGGGATTTGGAGTTTTCGTCATTCTTCGGCGCTGAGCAGGACGCCGAGATGGAAGCCAACCTCATCGCGAACAAGATGTCGCGGCTGTGGTTGGAAGCACCACTTGCCAACAAGCCAGTTATCAAGAATCGGCCGAAGACCGCCAACCAGAAGAAGCAGCTGGACAAGACTCTCTAAATGCAGATCGAGAAGTCCATCGAGCTAAGAGAGCGGGTCCAGCACGTGAAGCTACCGACCTGGTCAACCTTGGAGAAAGCAGAGGATTGGATCCTCATGAGTGCGAAGCAGATCTCCTCCAAGGGTTTCGGCATTCTCGACATCGGCGCGACCTCCAGCATCGCGGGCATAGAGGCCGCGGAGAACCTGCGCGACATTACTTATGAGCAGACGGGCAAGAACATCAAGATGGACGTTAGCCAGAAGGGTGCGCTTATATTTGGTGACGGCAACGCCAGGACCTGCACCGGCAAGGCGACCTTTCCCCTCATGATCGCCGGCGTGGACGGCGAGCTCGAGATGAACGTCCTCGACGCGGACGCCCCGCTCCTGATCGGAGTGGACGTACTGAGCCGCCCTGGAGCTGCGATCGACTGCGAGGCACATTCTGCGCACTTCAAGGAGCTCGGACCAGCTGCTCGTCCTTCCGAGCGGCCACCCTGCACTGCCACTTGTATGTCAAGCCGATTTTGGCTTCGTGGCATCCCTTGAGTAGGGGCGCGCGCCCTCGGCGCCCGAGACTGCTGCGGCGCCGGAGGGGGAGCCTGAAAACGAGCAGCCGATCAACAACAAGAAATATAAACCTTCTGCAGCTGTGCCCCACGAGGCCCCCGACGAGGTCTCAGGCCCCGGGTACATCATCATTACCTACGTCTACGGGGACATCATCATTACCCACGTCTACGGGGACATCGTTATTACCTACGCCTACGGGGACATCATCCTTACAAACGTCCTGGACATCATCAGCATCGCCCCCTACAGCATCAACTGCGACATTATCAGGAACACCTTCAGAGGCTCTCCCAGATATCCCCAGGTTCCCAGAGCTCCAGACCCAAACGCCCCCGTCTTCCAGAGCCATTTATGGCGCAATAGATCCGAGCTCAGGGCTCCGATTTCAGCAACCAGCACTTCTTCCTTATTCGCATGAGCCTCAACCGCGAGGCGAGATGCCGCAAAGCCGAGAGCCAGCGGGTGAAGCTGGAGAACGAGGAGATGGGATGATCATGGGGGGAGGTACCGCAACTGGACTCGGGCGCGCCAGCACCGACGACTCGCCCTCCGACGTCAACGAGACCTACGCTACAGCCGATGCCGCCATCGGCTCGTCTGAAACAGCACCAGGACACGAGGGGCAACATATTCTACACGGTCGAAGGCTCGGAGCTGGACAAGAGCATGAAGCGCCTGACGGACACCTTCCTACTGGGGCACCTGCCGACCTGGGAGATGTGGTCCAGCAAGCTCCTGCAGCAGTGGACGATGTGCCGCCGCTGGGGGCGGGTCATCATGAAGGTCTTCCTCAAGACGGTCGACCGGGTGACCTGGAAGCTGGGCAGCATCGGCCTACCTGCGCAGCTGATGCCCGAGAAGTGCCCGACTTGGCCGGCGGAGCTCGAGCACCGCGCGAAGATCGAGCCATGCCGCCCGAGGGCGGAGGCGAAGCAGAGGTCAGCCGCCTCCGCGGCCGCGCGCGAGCAGAACCAGAAGCTGAGGGCCACCATCGAGACCGCAAAGTCCGATTTCCCGACCAAGTATGCGACGGTGGATGCGTTTGCAGCACTCAGCTCGGAGCAGATCTACGAGAAGCTCAACATGGTGACGGTGGCCAGTCACTTGAAGCCCCTGTGCAAGACCTGGGGACTGACGCAGTCTGGCAAGAAGGAGGAGCTGATCGACAGGCTCATCGCGTACACCATCGAGCAGCGCGGCGCGGCGGCAGCGACGATCAAGGACAAGAAGGGGCCGAAGACCAAGAAGGTGGAGACGGTGCCTACCGTTGTGGGCCCGGCGATCCCAGCGCACTACACGCAGATGTGCCATCGCCCAGACTGCCAGCAGCAGCGGGGCATCGCGAATAACGAGCCGATCGCGAAGGCGAAGCCCTTCGGGTGGTGCCACCAGGCGTGCGGGAGCAGGGCGAAGGCCTGAGTGACATTCAGGCCGAGAAGCTACGCTGGAGAAGTGACGAGAGCCGTCCACTGAAAGGCCATCAGCGCCAGGCCATTCGCGCAGCTACCCACTCGACGAGGTCGGCCATCTTCGGAGCTATGTACGCCCTCTCGACCTTCGGCCGATTGACGATGGTCGAGGCGTGCACCCACGAGGGCTCCAACCTTGGCCAGGCCTGCGACGAGAAGGGCTACCACTACGAGAGGCTCGGCCTGTTCAACGACTGCGACCTCAGCAAGCCGCAGGGCCACCACAAGGCGATGTTCCTGCTGGACGAGAAGCGCCCGGAGCTCCTCGTCAGCACTCCACCCTGCGGGCCGTGGTCGATCATGCAGAACGTCAACCAGCGCGACGACAAGCAGAAGGATAATCTGCGCAGGAAGCGACTCAAGAGCCAGCGGATCTTCGAGAACAACAAGAGGCTCATCGAGCATCAGGTGCTCCACCTGAATGGCTCGGCCCTTGCCGAGCAGCCACACAACGGTCGGTCGTGGCGGAAGACCTTCTGGAAGGACCTGCACAATATCCCCCCCTACGAGGTGATCGTAGACGGCTGCGCCTGCGGACTCAGAGCCCCGGACACGGGCGAGCTCGTGAAGAAGCGCTGGAAGTTCCTGACGAACGACAAGAGGATCTGGGTGGCCATCCAGCCGCTACAACGCCGTGGAGGACACTACCATGAGGAGATCGAGAGCAGTCTGAGGACCGAGGCCTCGGGCTACTATCCCAAGATGCTGCGCCGCCGGGTCCTCCGTGCTCTGACCAAGAGCCAGAATCAGAATTACTTCGAGGAAGAGGCCGCGAGTTGCCTCTGTATGGCTGCTACCCAGCAACCACCTACTGAGCCTACGCCAGGAAGAGGACGAGACGTCAATTCCACCACAAGACTGCAAGGAGTCACGCAACCTCACAAGCGATACAGGCAATAAGCTCGAGAGCTACACCAGGCTGGTGCACGCCAACCTGGGGCATCTACCTCGAGCGCATCTTCTACGGTACCTACGAGACCGAGTTGCTAGACCTGAGGAGCTTCGGTGGGCCAGAACCTTCAAGCGCGACATCTGCGACGCTCACCGACCTCCGACGAAGCGGCCGCCAGCCTCATCAGCAGAGCAGCCCCAGAATGGTCACGAGGTTCTGTTCGACGCCTTTTCTTGGATATCGTCGCAGCACGAACACTAACGTGATGGCGCTAGCGATCCTCGACGTTGGCTCGGACACACTCTACGCGCGGCTTACCGACGAGAAGGCGATCCCGGGGACGCGCCGACAAGCTCGTGCGGGCGATATTCGGCATATCTCTGCTACGACGTGGTTCCCTTGGATGGGGCGTCCGGAGGTCATGCGCTACGACCCAGCTGGGAGCGCCATGTCCGACGAGTTCCGCGAGTGGATCGAGAGCCAGGGAGTCTACTGCCTCCCATGTGCTGCCGACGCCCGCTGGCAGATCGGCAAGATCGAGCGAGCGATTGAAGCTTTCAAGGAGGCCCTCGACGCCCTCGACGTGATGATCTCAGCTGAAGTTCCCACGAGCGAGATGTTCGGACTACAGACAGCAGCCAGGCGCGACCTGATCAGGATCGACGGCTTCAGTCCGCTGCAGCGCTATGCGGGACGGACGCCAATTGGCACCACGGTCAACCTGTTCGACGAGCCGAACAACCTGCCGCTCATCAGCGCCGAGCTGCAGGATGGCACCTTCAGCAGGGACGCTCGAGCACGACGGATGGCACGGTTCGCTCGCATCCGGACGGAGAACTCCGACCGAGTCAAGCGCTCGGAGGCCGCACGATTCAGATCGTTCAAGAATTACGAGACGGGCGACATGGTCTTCGTCCATAGGCGGCCCCCACTTGGAGCCTGGCGCAAGAAAGGACAACCTCGCTCCATGCCGGGGCGAGGCCGCCGGTACGGACCTGGACGAGTACTCTGTCATGAGCCTGCATGCTCAGGACGTCGACCTGGTCTGCCCGGGGCGGTGGTCAACATCGCGCTGGCTGGGCGCCTTTAACGAGTGGCTCCCGAGCAACTTCGGCCCGCCACGCCTTCCGAGGAGGCGATGGCGTCGCTACGCTCGCGCCGCGAGCAGCCGGGGACGTGGGCCTTCGGCGACGTCCAGAAGCAGCTCGACACGAACGAGGTGATCGACCTGTCTAACGAGTCCCCACCTACTGGCGAGGACCTTGCCGCTGACGACGGCGAGTCGGTCAGCGCCCGCACCTTCGAGAATAACGCGAGCGGACCCTGGGCCATTCCTGAAGACGAGGACCTACGCGGAGATCCTCGGAGCTTGGACCCAGGCGGCGGTGGAGGCGGTGGGGCCCCATCAGCACCGCCAGGCCTAGAGGAGCGACCTCTCCCAGGACCGCGACCGCCAAGGCGCCTACGGAGGAAGTGCAGTCCCTGGAACAAGGCGACCGAGGCCCAGGAACCTCTCATCCATCCAGCACCACCAGAAGCTCCACCATATATTCCACAGACTGAAGGCCGCGAAGCTGAGCAGCCAGCCGAAGTCTAACCGCATGCAGAAGACGAAATCATTATGGAGGCCCCTCCCGGCGACGATCGAGAGCAACCCGCGCCTCAGCAACCTCTGGCCGTGGACACGTACGACGAGTTGGACGAGACGACGGCGCCGAACGATAACGACATGCGCCGGCTGCGATCGCCAGGATCTGCGGAGCCCCTGGTCAAGAAGCAGCGGATCAACTGGGCGACCCAGGAGGGCTACTCTCACTACCTACAGGAGGGTAACTTCTACGGGGACCATGCCTACAGCGTCCAGCCGTATGACGAGGTCAAGGAGGCCGACGAGCTCATCGTGCTGGACATCCCTGTCAACAACGAGCATGCGTTCATGACCTACATGGACGATCCCAGTAACTTCGTGGCATCGCAGGCCCAGACGGGCCGAGTCGAAGTCTCACTCAAGAAGGCATCCCCGGAGGAGAAGAAGCTGCTACTCGAGGCCCAGCAGAAGGAGTGCACCTCCGTCCTCAGCACGAAGGCCGTCAGGATCCTCAGTCGACAAGGGATCGACCCGGCGCGCCTGCTGCGCTGCCGTTTCGTGCTGACTTGGAGGAAGGACGACAAGGGCAACGCGCTCAGGGGCAAGGCCAGACTGGTCGTGCTCGGTTGCAGCGACCCCGACCTGCTTCATCTACAGACAGAGTCTCCAGTTGCCTCGAGACGGGCACGTCAATTACTACTTGCCATGGCAGCAAGACGCAAGTGGAAGCTGGAGAAGGCCGATGCTGTCACAGCCTTTCTCCAGGGCGAGACGGACGAGGAGAAGCGGGAGATCTACGCGGACCCCCTAAGGACGTGCGTCAGGCCTTCGGCATGAAAGACGACGAGGTCTTGCAGTTCCTCAAGCCGATGTACGGGTTCGTACATGCTCCTCGCAAGTGGTGGCTACGTTTCAAAGATACGCTCAAGATGCTGCAGATGGAGGCTGTACAGTGCGAGCCATGCGTCTGGGCCATCCGAGGCGGCACTAAGCTGGTCGGCATGGTCATCCTACACGTTGACGGCATGATGATTGCCGGCGATCGCAGTCACGCGGTCTTTCTCAAGAAGCGACAGGATATCCAACAAGTTTTCGAGTGGACCCCCTGGGAAAGCCGAGCGTTAGTGCAGCGCGGCATCAGCATCCGTCAGAACGAGAACTTCACCTGCAGCCTCGCACAGGACAGCTACAGCCTGAACGTGGAGCCCATCCAGATACGACGTGGACGGAAACCTACAGAAGGAGTTTCGGACAAAGAGAGGTCAGATTTACGAGGGCGACTTGGTACAGTCGGCTGGCGAGCCCAACAGTCGGCCACGTGGCTAAGTGCTGAGGTCTCTCTACTTCACCCGACCATCCAGAAGATCAACAAGCTCATGCGCACCATGAACGATACTGCCGACGTGGTCATGCTCACCCCGGCCATTGAGCAGATCGCCGTGGTTGGCTGGGGCGATGCAGCCTGGGCCGCCCGTATCACTGGCGAGTCCCAGGGTGGCAAGATGATTGTGCTGGCCCCGCTGCCCTTCCTGAGCGGCTCGACAGAGACGGCGGCGCCCATCTCATGGAGATCGTGCAAACTACCGCGAGTGGCCAGAAGCAGTACGACTGCGGAGGTCCAGATGATGACCGAGACCCTAGACGAGATCAGCTACGTGCGACCGTTCATCTATGAGCTGGAGCGCGGCCAAGTGGACTACACGAACAAGCAGCACGTGAACGACGCCATCTCATCCTGCCCTGGCGCCAGCCACAGACGGCAAGTCGGGCTACGACGCGATCGAGAAGAGCGAGTCAGCTGGTCTTGGACTACGCGACAAACGGACTAGCATCGAGTGTCTAGGCATTCGACAACAGAAGGAGCAGACAGCCCTCCAGATGCGTTGGGTTCACAGCGACGCTATGCTCGCCGACGGTCTTACCAAGGATAGTGCCGCCAAGGTCTTGCTGGAGTTCTTCAGGACGGGCAAGCGCTGGGGGCTCGTGGGCGACCCTCTACACCGCAGTGCCAGGATATGCAAGACCGAGGGCATGGACAAGTTCGACCACGGCAAGCCGCTGTCTTCCGACGATGACGGCGCTATGCTGGAGGCACTCATCTACTTCGCCCGCGACAATCCCGACGAGCAGGAGAGTCCTGCTGGAGACGCAGACCTGTGGGGCATGGTGAGGAAGCTCACGCGCTCTGTGCTCTCTGTGAATTCAGCTGCCAGCGGCAGGCCTCGATGCCGTAACATCGATCTTTAGCTTTTGGGCATGCAACTCACAGCCCAGAGCCTGCCTACCTAGGGCCTACTTACGACAGATGGACCCTAGAGGCCGTGCGTGACATGTATAGGATCAGACTCCAAAGGGGCTTCGTTTATGTATACTTGCGTTTCCCGGCGAATCGGGCCCCTTTAAGCCTCCACGTTTCAGCTAGCCTTGCTTAGTAGGCCCTCCGAGATCCCCATTATAATACCCCAGAACAGGTTCATCCGAAACCGTTCTGGCTCAAGCTTAACAGCGTCACAGCGACGCTGGACTGACTGGCGTGCGTCCGAGAGACGCAGAGCAGCGAACTGCCCGCTGACACATATCCTGTTCATCACCATCGTGCGATCAGAATCGCACCGCCACTGTCCCCAGATTTCCCACGTTTGACGACGCCTACAACGACTCCCAGCATATCATTGAGAGAGAAAGGAGAGTAGCATTCTGGATTGATATCAGGGCAGTGGTCACAAACGGGGCGAGAGCAGTTGGGGGAAGGAGAAGGATAATGATAAAGAAGGCGGAAAAGGGGGCAGACAATGATTGCGGCAGGAGCGAGGAACGCCCCGCCGACCGACCCTAGGGCGGAGGCCAGGACCGGGATCGATCCCAGAGCAGCGCTTCCAGCGTCAATTCCATGAAGGACGGGCCACGCCGCGCGTGCAGCCGCGGCCCCTGACCGCAGCCCCCCGACAAGTGTCCTCGCGAACGCGGGCAGGCCACCCAGGAGGAGAGGCCCCTCCGTGACAAGCGCGAGGCGCACGTGGACAAGGTCGGCAAGACGCCCCCAACAAGCGATGCCAGGATCAAATGTCTACGGCCGCGCAGATCGCCAAGAAGAACGCTGCGCCCGGGCAAAGCAATGACAAGGAAAAGTCGAAGGGGGGCCGCAATGCAATGGCAAGGAGGAGTGACAATGCTGGAGGCGCCCAGCCAGACAGACCTGCCCATTCGGTAAGGATTGTTGGGGCAGGTCCAATGCCTCCAGGCATCAGCGACCTAGCCGGCCGGCGCGCCGCGACAGCGTTGCCGGCGCCGGTCTAGGGGGGCCCGAGGCAGAGCATTGCTGTCTTGCCCCAAAGGAGGGGGGTAGCGCTATGCGTTGCCCCCGCATATTTCTGCGCTGGATATGGATTCCAAGCGCCGCCGATCGGCGGGATGGCCAGCCTTCGGCGGGACTTTCGCGGAGTTGGTAGAGATCTCGATAATTGCTCATCTGAATGTGGCGACGACAATCTGGCTGCCCCGGCAGACAGGCAAGGCGGGAACGTGGATGATCTACGTGCGAAGCGCCGCAGGGATCACGTCGCCCCAGAGAACGGCCCTCGAGTTGCTGAAGAACGGGAAGCCAAGCCAGCGCGCCCGATCGAAGCGGGCAGACGTTCAGAAGCGCCCCATACATCAGTGGAGAGAAAGGCGCGCATCGACCCGAGTACGCCACACCCAGCCATTCGGTTTCTTCGATCGATGCGTAGGGAGGCGCGATTGATACCAAGTACACGGGGAATTCCTTTCGAGTTTGACCCTCAGTGGGCCAGGGGGCGGGCGCGCAAGGTGAAGGTCCATGGGCAGCTGGCGTTCGACGAAGCCGTTTCCCTCGAGCAGGGGGTCCGGCGCATGTCGGTTGGCTGGGGGCAAAAGTCCGACGGCGAGCTCAGCGACGCCAGCAGCGGGCATGAAGGCGATCGCGTCGCCGCTGCGTCTGCTAGGAAACAACGAAAGGCTAAGGGAGCCAAGAAGGTCAGCCCCGCGCGGCTTGGATCCACGCGGTTCGTCGTCGTCGCGGGCCGCGGCTCAAATTTGACATCCGCCAAGCGCCTGCGAAACGCGGGGGCGATGGATAAGATCTCCCCGCTAGCCGCCCCCATCGCCCTGAATGCGGCGGGGGGCCAGTCGCGGGCCCTCGGCGCGGTCGGGATCGCCAGTGACAGGCTGCGCAGTGGGGAAATTGAGACAGTCGTCGCGCCAGAGACTCCGAGCGCGATATCAGTGGGAGATATCTTGACTCTTAATGGACCGCGGTCGCAGTTTTCATTGGTGATCCGGCAGAGCACCGCGCCTACCATTGCCCGGGGGAAGAAGATTGGATCTCTCAGTCGAGGGCAAGATCCCCTATCTCACCGTGGAGAGTAGAAGGGCCTCGGGTCAAGTAGACGAGGCAGCTCCCGCAGGCCCGCCTGGGCTTGAGCGGCGGGCGCGCGCGGGGATCCGCGCGAGGTCTAGTCTGAACAATCCCGGCGCAATGGGGGGCCCCCCATTCCAGGCAATCAGGCACCGCGCAACCGTCGAGCTGCATTTGAGGAAGGTGATGGCAGAAGACTCTTTCACGAATGGCAAACTGGACGTCCAGTCGGACGGCGCTGAGGGGCTCCTTGCCGCGGGCGGAACGATTGCTCCGATGTCAGGTATACTGGCCCACTACTACGAGCCCCACGAAGCGGCGAGACATGGGTGGGCGAACGTGCGCGCGACTCTTTTTAGCAGCGACGCCTCGTTGGCGCCGATGCCCGTCCGCGGCCATGCTGCCGGCGCGCGACGCCCAGACCGAAGGGGGGGCGAGGCAACGCCTCGTCGCCCGACGGCAGTACCTGCCCCGGGCGAGGCAGAGATCGCCGAGGCGGCGCCCGAGGGACCAGGGGCCGCAGAGGTAGTCGACGACCACGGTGACGACCCAATGGGGGCCAGGGGCGGCGACGAAGTACGAGCGCCTCCAGCGCGGGGCCGTCTCCCGGCGGCATCTGCTCACACGCGGGCTTAATAATCCGTTATGTTCCACGTGCCGGCGGGCGAAGACGCCGAGGGCGCAACAGAGGCAGAATAATAACAGGGTGTACAAGCAGATTAGACCATATTCTGAGCCGACAAAGTTCGGCGGCCAGTGCACCATGGACCACTGGTTTGCGGCCGATGAGCCATCGATGGGGGCCCCGCGGGGAAACCTCGCGCGCGACGCTGCGCGACCGGTGCGCGGGATTCCTGGCGAGCTGGAGCCTTCGCGACAAGTCGGCGGAGCGCGTGGTCGATCTCCGAGCGAATCTCAGGGCGCCCGCCGAGAAAATAGATTGCATTTGCGCGGACGCGGCGCCCGAACTCTCGGCGGCGTGCAAGTCGCTCAACGCGCATCCTTGGAGCGACCCTGTGGCCCTATGGCCGCTCATGCCCCCGCGCAGCCCGCCAAAGGGAAGCATAACATAGTGGCGGAGAGAGCAAGTGCTATCAAGCAGGGCGGGGACCAGAGCCACTCTCCTGACGGCCGGCTCACTGACTCCATGCTGGGTACATGCTGCCCTTCATTTCTGCGTCTGTCACAGCGCGCAGGAGATGGGGGCTGACGGATCAGCGCGGGAAGAGAGATATGGCGCATCCTTCGATGGGTCTCCTGGGCCGCTCGGTTCGGCCACGCTGTGCCCGCCGCCCCCTGAGTCTCGCATCGAGCTCACCGAGACTGGACCTCGGACATGGGTCGGCATCTACCTGGGTCATGTACATCGCGCGGGGGGGGGGTGGGGCGAGCAGGGTCCGATTGTTATCGCATGCCATGTGATCAAGTGGGCGGGCTCAACTTCAAGACTGGCGCGAAGGAAGACGGGCGGAGGCCCATCGTGGAGAGGTCGTAACATATCTGGACTGGCATGGGCGTCGAGGAAGGAGTCGAAGCGGGCAAGACGGGATTGTTGACGACGCGCCTCCGGGGGCCACTGTGCATTTTCCGCTGGGGAAGGCCTACGACCTCGCATCAATGACGGTGCCTTCGGTTGATCTGGGAGACCTGCGGAGACTACGTCGCCGACAGTGAGCCGAGGACCCCGGGCGGCCGTCAGTCGTCCGGGGGGGGTCCGTCGTCGAGCGGATCAGCTGGAAGCAAAGCTGAGGTTGAGATACCGGCGCCTTCTGCCCACGACGAGGGACAAGGAGATGCGGCCATGGCGGCGGCAGGGGAGGGCCCGACAGGCGATGAAAGACCCTCCGGACCTCCTCCTGCCCCGCCGCCGCCTGCGGGAGCCAGGCGGAGAGCTGTGCGATTCATGCGTGATGGAGGCGGCTCATTAGCTGAGAAAGGAGTAATTCTTTCTAGAGAATCCAAATTCTTCGCCGCCCCCGAGAGGGGGGGGGGGGGGCAAGCTTGAACAGATTGGCGCGACCCGCCCAGAGTCTGCAGACGGGCGAGCACGTCGAGCACGACGTCGCCACAGTGGGCAGGTCTCGCGAAGAGGTTAGTCAGCCTCAACTGCTGACGGGCAGGAACATGACACATATTCGCGTGGTTTTCTCTTGCGACCCGCGATTTCGGACCCCCGACGCCGCTCAGACCGATGGCCCCGCGCGCGGAAAGGCCTGGCTGAAGAGGGCGCGCGAGGGCTCGACAAATCCAGGCGTCCAACCAGATCGGCGGCGGAAGATGGGAGATTCAGCCAGGGCGAAAGCGATTGCTGAGTTCAAGGCAGACGAAGAAGGGGCCCCATGGACTCGAGGACCCACGACCGAACGCCGACCTGCTACAAGAAAGCGGGATCACCAGTCCGCGTCCACCGGTCCAGTGCGTCGCGTCGGCCGCGGCCCCCCATCCGCCGTCGCGCCCGATGACTATGGCAGCGACGCTGCGGCAAAGATAAGACGAATAGCCAGAAGTCGGACGCATACCGGTACTCCGACGAGATTGTTTGCGATGGCGGGAACGGCGTGGGCAGCTAACCCAGTTCCTATTTTGGAGACAAGACTGCATGGGGCCCCGCGGGCAGGACTTGCGCGGCGGCGGCCCTCGTATGAAGCCGAGGCTTCAAATTGCGAGCAGCTTCGAGCGCCGGGAGAAAGCGCCAGGGCTGCGACCACGCTGCAACCCCTTCACGGACATTTGGCGGTCGATGTGACGAGTCAAAACCTTTCTCTGTGCCTTCCAAGTGGGTCGCGGACATGCCCAGCGCCGCTTGCATCGCCAGGCCAGCGACTGGGGCGGGGCCGGCGAACG